GCCTGCCGGCCTGCCGCTCTGGCCACCGCGTAGTCCGCCTCCAGCCTGCGCCAAGGCCTCGGCATGCGCCCCAGGCGGCAGCGAACGTCCGCTCGGTATTGGATCCCCCAAGTCTTGACGCTGTAGAGGTTTTAGTAGTACTCCTGCTGCTTGCAGTGGGCCAGGAGCGCTCCGAGTCTGACCGCCTCGAAGCCCAGGAGGCTTGTCTGCAGGAGCTCGTAAAACTCAGCCCAGGAATGGAAATCCCCCGGGCCGAACAACTCCGTGACCCTCGAGGAGCCGTCGCTGTTGTGAGCGATCCCGTTAAAGCGCATGCGCTTCAAGAGGCGGTGGCTCGGCCCGTTGACAAATCGACATATGGGCATGCCTTCATCCAGTTGAGGATTTGGTCCATACCAGAGATCTGCGACTCGGAACACTCGGAGTCCGGGTCGGGTGCCCTGCCACCCATCGCCTTCATGTAGGCCTTGTAGTGGTTTGTGATGGTTTCTTCGTCCTCCTTCTTGATCATGATCTTGGACGTCTGGTCGGTCGTCGTGCAAAGGTCGACCATGTCTGGCTTGGCTGCGGAAGGGGCAACGTCTGGCGCCAGGCTCGCAGCATCTCGAGCAGCCGCCGCTGCGGCGTCCGCCGCCACGCGCGCGTCCGCCGCGGCCTGCGTTGCCCACTGAACGGCGTCCGACTCGACGCGGCATGCTCCTGCTGGGCGCGGGGGGCATCCCGCCTCCGCCGCTTGCGCACGGGATGTGGCAACGACGACTGCCACTCGGCAGACATTGGCGACCAGAAGGCAGCCGTGTTTCTGCAACGATCCGAGCGGCACTGATTGGTCGCCGACCCGGATGCTGCCTGTCAGGGTGATCGCCTCTTCCTCTGGCATACTCGCGAGAAGGCGGGGGTGCTCGCCTCTGGTAGCCTCGAGTTTCGCCAAAAAGGCAGTTGGCGTGGGCCCAGAGATCCCCGTCCAGGTGATTACCTTGTCGATCGTGTCCATGGTGCCGAGTTCCTCCGGGGTCGGCTCCATGGCGGTAGGAAGTGACGGTGGAAAGGCACGAGCCCACTGAGGAGGGCCAGATGCGAGGCGGAGAGTGCCCTTCTGAGGGTTTGTGCTGAGTGATCCCTGGAGCAGAGACGCCCACGGATCACCTGTGCAGAGCATCCTCCATACGAGCCGCCCCCCACTGTTACACCCGCGCTGCGTGCTCGTCTCTCCGATTCCTGCCCCCCCCCCCACCCGCCGTGCCACCGCCCGCTGAGGAGAACGTTGAGACGGGCCGTCCCGACGGGGGGATCCTCGCTTGCTCTCAGGAGCGACTGGGTCCTCCCTCCTCTTTCCCCTCTCTGCAGGCGGACTACGAGCCGCTGCCGAGATCCAAACTCCGAGCTCCCCCTCCTCCCCCCCCTCCCCCCCCCCTCCGAGTAGCAGATGGTCTCCCGAGCGGCACGGCCACAACGCGCCCGCCAGGGAGCCTATACCATGGGGTTTCCCGGCGCGCGCCCCCTGGGAGCAACGCACACACACACACACACACACACACAGAGTACTAACGCGTCGGGGCGGGACGCCGATCCTGGCCTCGTGGAGGTCGCGGCGCGCGTTCCACTGCTCGCCAAATGCCTATTCGCAAAAGCCCGAAAAGCACATGTCTGCTTTGATGTAATCTACCGTAGATCCCCCGCGGGGGATGCAAGCCACGTGCGAGCAGTTACTCTGCGAGTCGTGGAACGCGCTCGTCGAGAAGGGGTGCTCTGGAGGCCGTGGGCCTGGACGCCCGACACGGGCACGGAAAAGGTGGGCGCGATGCCCCACGGCAGCAAAGGCTGCCCAGAACTGACAGCGGCCGCTGCTGGTAGGTCCGGCGTGTCCCCCTACAGGGGGATATTGGACGAAAAACGAAAAATGACCCAAAATTTGTCAAAACATGCTCCAAAAATCGTCCCCTGACTATCTTTTATGTTTACTAATTCTGAATAAGATCCCCCCCGGTAGAGGGACAGGCCCGACTTAACGCTGCTGGGCAGGCGGTCTTCTGTCTCAAATGAAAAACGGCCGCGGCGACACCGACAGCGGCCGGAGTCGGGTCTTGCATCTTTGAGACGAAGCCACGACGAGGATGAAACCGCGCGAAGATACATCGAGATGCTCTGAGATCTGGCGGCTCTGGGGGATGTCTCGAGCGCCCCGGCCTTCTCAGAGCGTTCCAGAAAGCTCTGGAACGGATTTATCCTCGTCTTAGCCCCGTCCGAAAAAAAGTCCGCGGCAACACCGACAGCGGCCAGAGTCGGGTCTTGCATCTGCACTAGAGGCAGAAAGCCGACGCCTCTGTCGGAGTGGCCGCGGAGTCCAGTCCTCGGGCCCGCGACGTCCGCAGCGACACCGACAGCGGGTCGCGTTCAAAACGAGCAGGAGGTGCAGTCGACCTCCGTCCCGCGCGAGCAGCGCGCCCTGCGCGAGCCCGCGTGTGCCACGTCCTGGCTATACTCTTCGGGAACGGTGGGAACCACAGGGGGGGCGAACCTGAGGCACACCCGTCCTCGGGATCTGGGACAGTCAGCGATATCGACGAGGGTCATACCGCCGGTGATGCCCTGCTGGCCACTGGTCCACGGGTCGAAGCTTTAGGTCGGGCCCGTCCCCCTACAGGGGGATCTTGGGCGATGAATTCAAAATTATTCCGGCGAAGGACCCAACCATGTGCAGCTGTGTGTAACGCAGGTGTGGGTACCGTCCTCGGTGAACCTCCCTCTGGGGCCACGACGCGTGTGACGGGGGTGCCAAAATTGGTACGGGTACGCCATGCGGACGCTGCCACCGGAACCGTCGTTGCAGCCCCATTTGAGGCCACGAAACGTGTGAGGGGTGCGCGGAAATGCAGGGTGGAACCACGTGCGGGCGCTGCCACCAGGGCCTTTGGTGGCCGCGAAACGTGGAAACGGTGTGCAAAAATGGAGAGGGAACTGCATGCGGAACCTGCCACTGGGGCCCTGAGTGGAACACTCCATGGGGCCACGAAACGTGTGAGGGGTGCGCCGACATGGAGGGGGGACTGCATGCGGACCTGCCACGGGGGCCTTGGGTGGAGCACCCTATGGGGCCGCGGAACGTACGAGAGGTGCGCGGAGATGGAGGTGGAACTGCATGCGGACCCTGCCACTGGGGCCTTCGGCGGAGCACCCTATAGGGCCACGAACCGTGTGGTGAGGGGTGCGAAGAAATGGGGATGGAACTGCCTGCGGACCATGCCACTGGGGCCTTCCGCGGAGCACCCTATGGGGCCACGAAACGTGTGAGAGGTGCGCGGCGGAACACCCAATGGGGCCACGAAACGTGTGAGGGGTGCGCCGAAATGGAAGTGGAACTGCATGCGGACCCTGCCCCTGGGGCCTTCGGTGGAGCACCCTATGGGACCACGAAACGTGTGAGGGGTGCGCCGAAATGGAGGTGAAACTGCATGCGGACCCTGCCGCTGGGGCCTTCGGTGGAGCTCCCTATGGGGCCACGAAACGTGTGATGGGGTGCGCCGAAATGGAGGTGGAACTGCATGCGGACCCTGCCACTGGGGCCTTCGGCGGAGCACCCTATGGGGCCACGAAACGTGTGAGGGGTGCGCCGAAATGGAGGTGGAACTGCATGCGGACCCTGCCACTGGGGCCTTCGGTGGAGCACCCTATGAGACCACGAAACGTGTGAGGGGTGCGCCGAAATGGAGGTGGAACTGCATGCGGACCCTGCCGCTGGGGCCTTCGGCGGAGCACCCTATGGGGCCACGAAACGTGTGAGGGGTGCGCCGAAATGGAGGTGGAACTGCATGCGGACCCTGCCACTGGGGCCTTCGGTGGAGCACCCTATGGGGCCAAACGTGTGAGGGGTGCGCCGAACATGCGGACCCTGCCACTGGGGCCTTCGGTGGAGCACCCTATGGGGCCACGAAACGTGTGAGGGGTGCGCGAAATGGAGGTGGAACTGCATGCGGACCCTGCCACTGGGGCCTTCGGTGGAGAACCCTATGGGGCCACGAAACGTGTGAGGGGTGCGCCGAAATGGAGGTGGAACTGCATGCGGACCCTGCCACTGGGGCCTTCGGTGGAGCACCCTATGGCACCACGAAGCGTGTGAGGGGTGCGCCGAAATGGAATTGGAACTGCACGCGGACCCTGCCACTGGGGCCTTCGGCGGAGCACCCTATGGGGCCACGAAACGTGTGAGGGGTGCGCCGAAATGGAGGTGGAACTGCATGCGGACCCTGCCACTGGGGCCTTCGGTGGAGCACCTTATGGGACCACGAAACGTGTGAGGGGTGCGCCGAAATGGAGGTGGAACTGCATGCGGACCCTGCCGCTGGGGCCTTCGGTGGAGCTCCCTATGGAGCCACGAAGCGCTGTAATGGGTGGGTGAAACGCAGGGAGGAGGGAGGAGAGGGAGGAGGAGGGAGGAGGAGGGGGAGAAGGAGGAGAGGAGGAGGAGAAGGACGCGGGGCACCGTCTCTTCAAAACGAGGACCCAACACCACAGGATGGTTGGGAAAAAAGAATCAAATATCATGTGTACATATATATATATATAAACATACACCCCAAATGCTCGAAGATAGTCCAAAAACAGACCCCTGACTATTTTTTGACTACTTTTGAACACTCCTCCTGTAGAGGGACAGGCCCGTCCCACCTTTTCCTATACTTTCCCATACCTTCCTGGGGATCGACGGTTACTTGTGTCTGTGTTTTTCCCCTCCATCCCGGCTCCTGTCCAAGGCGTACCTTTTCCTGTGCAAGCTCTTCGGCACCGCCTGCATCCCGCGCCCTCCGGCCGCCGGAGGCCCCGCCCGCCCGCGCCCTGTCTCCCCAATTAGTGCTTTGCGCGCCCCGCCTAGCTCTTAACCGGAAGAGGCCCGCTCTCGACCCGCAGACCAAAAAGTTGTTTTCCCCTCCTGACACTGGTCCGCGGGTGGAAGCTCCCGCGCGCTCGCGCAGGCGCGCGCGCGCCGCGGAGGAGGGCGCCGCCTGCGGCCCGCAGCTCGGCCACCGCGCGCGGGCTGGCCTCGGCCAGCTGCGCGAGGAGTCCGGCGACGGCCTGAGGGCGCCGCAGGCGCGCGCGGGCAGCGCGGGCTCGCGCGGGCCCCCCTCGGCGAGGGGGGGGGGGGGGGGGAACTCCTGCTCCTCCTCCTCCTCCTCCTCCTCCTCCTCCTCCTCCTCCTCCTCCTCCTCCTCCTCCTCCTCCTCCTCCTCCTCCTCCTCCTCCTCCTCGCCCTCCTCGCCCTCCTCGCCCTCCTCCTCCTCCTCTCCTCCTCCTCCTCGCCCTCCTCCTCCTCCTCCTCTCCTCCTCCTCCTGCCTCCTCCTCCTCCTCCTCCTCCTCGCCCTCTTCGCCCCTCCTCCCTCCTCCTCCTCCTCCTCCTCCTCCTCCTCCTCCTCGTCCTCGTCCTCCACCTCCTACCCCCTCCAACGTATGGTGGTGGTGGTGGAAACAGGCCCATCAGGCGCTCTGCTCAGAGAAAGCAGGGGCCCGAACACCAAGTCTAACGTCTTCGGGCGCAGCATCGGGCGCAGCATCCGGCTGCGCGCTGTTGGGACGAGCTTGTCTGAGGCACGCTCTCTCGCCTCTCGCCGTCCCACGTTGCTGCGTTTTCTTTGCCCTGGTTCTACGACATCTTGAGAATGCGTCGACTATCTGGAAATCTGGAAATCTAGGCAAGAGGTTGGACACCCATAGGGTCCAGGTGAGAAAGAGAGAGAGAGAGAGGAGAAAAAAAAACACAAAAAACTCCCCCCCCCCTCAAAAAATACGCATATCTATATCTATGTATATATATATGTATGTATATATATATATACATATACATATACATATACCTATACATATACATATACATATACATATACATATACATATATGCATGTACATATACATATACATATATACATAGTTACATATATGCATATATGCATATACATATACATATACATATACATATATATAACCATATACAAATACATATACATATACCTATACATATACATATACATATACCTATACCTATACATATACATATACCTATACATTTACCTATACATATACATATACATATACATATACATATATATATATATACATATATACATACACATATACATACACATACGCATACACATGTACATATACATATACATATATAAATATACATATGCCTATATATACATACGCATATGCATATACATGTACGTATACATGTACATTTGCATATGCATATACATATAAATATACATATACATAAGCATATACATATACAAATACACATACATATGCATATACATATACATCTATATAAGTATACATATATATACATATATACATATGCATATACCTATAGATATATATATATATATATATATACATGTACATGTACGTATACATATGCATATAAATGCATATGCATATATACATATGTACATACGTACATACATGTATATATATATATATATATATATATGCATACGTAGACATATACATATACATATACTGTTATACACATATACATATAAACATATATACATATATACATATAGTGGGGTGGGGTGCCCACTCGAAAAGGCCTTTCTAACCCTGCCGAGGGTTCCCTCCCCACGGCCCGGGGCCCAGACGACAGGGCACCGCACCCCGCACCATCCCGATCGCCGTGCTCTCCGGCCTCCGCCATCGGGCCAGCCTGCGCCGGGGGAGGGAATAGGGAGGATGGATGGATGCTCGGGTGTTGCTAGAAGTACCCCTGGCCCAAGGTAGCCCCAGGATTTCCGGGGTGGCCCAGGCGGCCTCCAGGGCACCCCTCACGAGGGCCAGAGGCCACCAGGGGGGGCTCCAAAATGGCGCGAAACGCTGGGCGCACCTTGGGCCAGGGGCACCTCTAGCAACACCTGAGATGCAGGGAGGGGAGTGATGGATAGGGATGGACGGATTCTCAGTGGGCCTTCATGGGAGCCTCTGTGGACCTCCGCGGCCCGACACTTCGACCAAATGTCGTCCAGATTTCGACCACCCCTCGTCACCATGTGGTCCAAATATCCGTCCGAATGTCCACCAGAGTCCGAAGAAACCCGGGCGAACCGGGGCACTAGGGGGAGGGGAGCGCGAGGAGGAGGGGGAGGAGGAGGAGGAGGAGGAGGAGGAGGAGGAGGAGGGCGAGGAGGGAGAGCGAGGGGGAGGGCGAGGAGGGGAGCACGAGGAGGAGAGCTGAAATTCGGCCCAGGCCAACTTTCAGCCTGGCCGAGTGCAGCTGGCCGAGCTCCGCCTGGCCGAGCGTCGCCTGGCCGAGTCCTTCTCAATGCCCCCGCGGGGCGGCCCCGCGGCGGAGGCGGAGGGAGGAGGAGGAGGTGGAGATGGCCTGCGAGGAGGCTGCTGACCCCCAGCTCCACACCCCGCCCTTCGATGGACCAGAAACATGCGACACCATCCCACCCGCGGCCACACGAGGCTTAGCCTTAGGTCGGGCATGCCTTCCTATAGGCGGATGTTGGAAGAAAACTCAACAACAGTCCCCCCCCACCCCCCACCCCAAAAAAACGAACAAACAAAACGTCCCCATATCATGTTGTTCTAATACCATTCTTGAATACTCCTCATGTAGAGGGACATGCCCGACTTAAGCTTAGCGTCTTCCAGGAAATCTGGCGTGGGTTTTTGCGTGGCATGCGCCACGGCCCCCGATGGGCCGTAGCGCAACATGGAGGGCCGTCGGAGGGGTGGTGTCGCTTGTTTCTTGAGCGGTTCGATGCCGCCCGGAGGATGAGGCAGAGGTAGGGGTAGGGGAAGGGGAGGAGAAAGAAAATGAGGAGGAGGAGGAGGAGGAGAAGAAGGCACTCGTCCCGCCCTTCAGTGCCGCCCTGAATACCCAGGCGGGCGATGGTGACCCGCGGGATAAGCAACTGCTGCGTCATCCAGATGACGCCGCAGACCAATAGGTTGAAGGACGGGTCGTTAAGCACGTGAGGGGCAACGTTCAGGCGGGACCAGCTCGGGGGCAGAAACATCGGCCGGAATCGACGAAAAATGGCAAATACACCGGCGAGTGGCCCCGATAGCGGACCCGCAAACTCCCAGGCGGGCTGGGGCTTCTGCGTTGCCCCTGACAACTTCCGAAAGCCCTCGACTCATGCCGGAGCCAGTCCGCAAAAACGTGCAATATGAGACTCAGAGCGTCGCCCAACCATTTCAATCCCACCAGCCATCTGGGCGTAGGTGGTCTAGGGCGCTTCCTCTTCCAACCCCCTTCTTCCCCTTCGGGGAGGGGTTTATTACTGTTCCTAATTAATATACACCCCATCCCTCACCTGGGCGGCGTCCAACCAGGAACCATGCCGTTACCGTGAGGGCCCGCCCTTCACCATCCTTTTCAAAAAACCAAACAAACCGCACTCTGCCTCCACATTTGGAGCATGCGCGGCCAACCCGATGCGGCCCCCCCCGTCCCTATCAAAAAAACAAAGTACACTTTGGGGCACAGTCTTGAGTAATGTTCGTGAGACCCGCGAACACTGTGTGCTGTTTGTGACAGGGACGGGGGGGGCAGCATATTCCCTGCCGCGCGAAAGGCTACCATCCCTGAAGAAAAAACGATACAACATACACCTCGCGGCAAAATCTGGATTATGCGCGGCCATCCCGCGATCACTGTCAAATTGTGTTTTGTCAGGGATGGCGGGGGTGGTGGCGCGTGGCCTGCTGTGCACAGGCCCACGAGACACAATGACGGGCATTGGTTTTCGACAAGGATGGCGGGGGCCGCAATGGTTCCCGATGTGTGCTGTCACGTGCGCAGGCGCGAACATGGCGCACCTGGCGCGGCTGGAGTGTGCGGCACACCTGGCGCACTCGGAGCACGTGGCGCATCTGGCGCACCAGGCGTGCATGGCACGCTCGGGCCCCAGGGGTACCTGGCGCGCGTGGCGCCCCTGGCACGCGTGGCGCACCTCGCCCAAGCGTCGCGCACCTGGGGTCGGCTTTGGTTCCCACTAGCTGTCCATCCAAAGACGACCGCTGAACATGCTCAGGCTCGGGTGTTAGTGTTGGGAAGGCGGGTTGAGTGAGCTAGACGGCTTGCGGGCTGGACCTGGAGGGGGGGGGGGGTCGCGAGGCTTTGGAGCGTCCAAGATGGCCCACGATGGCTTTAGGAGGGCCTCAGAGAGCCCAAGATGACCTCCAAGATGGCTCAAGATAGCCCAAGATGGCTCAATCTGGTTCCCAAGATGCTCCAAGAGGCCCAAAGACCGCTCGAAGTGGCCACGGAGCCTCTCCAGGAGGCCGCCAAGCGGCCAAAGTCCTTCAAACACCTTGGGCAAATCAATGACGTCTGTCTTCTCGTCCTTTCGCTTCCGATGAGCCCCACGACGGCCCCAAGAGCGCCCAAAAGCGCCCCAAGAGCGCCCCAAGAGGGATCCAAGAGACGATTCGAAACACTCAAAAGGAGCAAGGCTACTTGAAGTTCCTCCCTTCTTTAATCGATGTTCTCCAAGATGGCTCCACGAGCGCCCCCAAGCCTCCCAAGAGCGCCCTTCGAGGGCCCACAAAGGCGCCAAGGAGGCCGCAAAAGGCGCCCAAGAGGATCCAAGAGGCTCCCTTAGATCTCCTCCTCCTCCTCCTCCTCCTCCTCCTCCTCCTCCTCGTCGTCGTCGTCGTCGTCGTCGTCGTCGTCGTCGTCGTCGTCATCATCATCATCATTCTGATCATAACAATCATCAGCATCATCAGCATCATCCTCATCATCATCATCAGCACCATCATCATAATAATCAGCATCATCATCATCATCTTCATCCTCCTCATCATCATCATCATCATCATCATAATCATCATCATCCTCATCATCATCATAATAATCGGCATCATCATCATCATCATAATAATAATCAGCATCATCATCCTCATCATCATCATCATCATCATCCTCATCATCATCATCACCCGCATCATCATCATCATCATCAGCAGCATCATCATCATCATCATCATAATCATCATCATCATCATCACCCTCATCAGCATCATAATAATCAACATCATCATCATCCTCATCATCATAATA